GAATGGGGTTGTCAGAGCTAGAGGACACCTTTGGGATGTCAGCAATCCCACCTTTGGAAAGGAGAAGCATAACTGGCAAGCTGATTGGGGCTCTGTGTTTAGTCGCACCCCATACAATGAGGGAGAGCTCTTTCTTTAAAAAAATTACAGAAAGGGGCCAGCCGAATGGCGAGTTGGGTTAAAAGTTGGCTTGGGACACCAGCTCTGAGCACCAGAGCTCCGGTTCGTATCCCACATTAGGGCCAGTGACGCTGCGCCCTCTACAGCTAAGATGGTGAACAACAGCTCAACCTGGAGCTGGGCTGCCATGAGTCGCTGGCGACAGCATAGGCTGCAGTGGGGCTGCAATGGGCTGCCATAAGCTACCGTGAGTGGCCGGCAGCTGGCGTGAGCGGCCAGCAGCCAGCATGAGCTGCCAAGAGCCACCATGAGCAGCCATCCAGTGGCCAGCGACTGATCTGTCTCACCCGGAAAGAACGCAATGATAATACCAACATGGGCCAGTGAAGCGACGTCCTCCACAACTAGACTGAAGAACAAAAGGACAGCAACTTGCCTGTTCTCCTTCCCTGATTCCCCAACGCTGTTCCCCTCCCCCCAATTCCCCCAATAAAATCTTTTAAAAAAATTACAGAAAAGGATAAAGAAAAAAGTAACTATTATTCACATTCCCACCACCCAAAATGATTAATATGTTGCATATTTGCTTCCAGCTCCACCACAACCCCCACATACTTCAGTTAAAATCATATAAAATATTTATAGGTTTGCAAAAATAACTCCATGCTCCACAGATGTGGCTGATATCTGACAGAGCTGGGTTCCAAGCCGGCCTCTCAGGTGACCTGCAGGGTGTCAAGCCCTCTGTTGTTAGGAGGGCTTTCCCAGAATGCACTCTTCTGCAGAGGCTGTTTCTGGGGCAGAAATAACAGCAGAGGCTGATGGGTTTGGGGCTGTCCCAGCTTGTCAGACTGCAGAGGCTGGGGTGAGGTGGGGGACGCAAGGGGTCATCATCCCATGAAAGAATCATTGGAAATGGGCAGATGACAGTTCATTTCACTGTGAGGGGGACACTGGAAAGAGAGGGCAGGCCTGTGTAAGGTCACCTGGGCCCTGGGACTTTCCCTCCCAGCAGCTCACTCACTGACTCACTTAATCATTTATTCAGAAATTATTCGCTGATGCCTACTGTGTCCTCGTCCTTTTGTTAGGGTCTGGGAGTGTGGCGAGTGTGATGGCCCTCGGTCCAGTGAAGCAGAGAACTGGGCGACCAGAAGCCCCAATCACACCGGGTGAGGTGTGGAAAAGAGCCAGCCAGGAGAAGTGTGTGGCCTGCCCACGCTGGAGGGAGGGAGCTGGGGAGGGTCACTAAGGGGGGACATTCCAGCTGGCGTTTGGAAACGGAGCTCACTTACCAGGAGGGGAGAAGTTAAGGCATTTGAGGCAACACAGTGTTGTTCAAGGGCAAAGGGTGCAGAGGGCAGACAAACCTGGATTTGATCCCAGCTCTGCCATTTTTTTGGCTCTGGGATCCTGGGAAAATCATCTCTGCTCGCTGAGCCTCTGGCCTCAGTTTCCTCAGCGGGATCTATGAGGAAGGCAGTCAGAGTTTTCCAGTCAAGAAAACAGAAGGATCCTGTGTGGGATAATTTTGCAGTGTCAAATGTGAATGGTCTTCCAAGCAGAGGGAAAACACACACAGCAGGGGTGAAAACCATGAGACACTGGGGGTGGCTGGAGGGGAACAGGGAGAGACTGGGGCTGACAAGAACGAGACTAGCTGGGGATACTGGTTCTTCCACTGCCTCCATCCTCTCCCAAAGAAAAGCCAGAGAAAACAAAGAAGAGGGAAAGATGAGGGTGGAGACCCATTTCTTTGACATCATCTATCTTCCTCTGAAATGACAAAGGAGTTTTATACTTGGGGCTGAAATCAGTCTGAGTTCAGTCTCCCCATTCATAAAAAAGGGAAAAGAAAAAATAAAACTCCTGTGGCTGCCAGCCCCCCAAGGACCCCAATAAAGGACAGAGGACTTCCACTGCCGCTTAAGCCCAGGAAGTTGTAGGTGGCAGTGGGGAAGGGCCCCCTGGAGCCTGGAGGAGGGGGAAGAAGAGACTGAAGGGACAGCTCCATTAGGGGTTTTCAAAAGTGGAGTCTCCTGCTTGGAGACAGCAGCAGTGGAAAGAGTCTCCCATTTTCTACCTGGGCCTAGACTGGGGCCTTTTGGAGTCTCAGTGCCTCCAAATGGAAACTGCATCCTCACCAGAATGTGATATTATCACTATTTATTATGTTTTAATAGGTGTGTAATAATCTTATTGTGGTTTAATTTGCATTTCCCTAATGGCTAACTGTGTTGACCTCATGACATATCCTCTGTTAAAATATGTATTAGGGGCCAGCTGAGTGGCTCAGTTGGTTAAGAGCTCGCTCAAGAGTTTGAGCTCTGAGCAACAGCGGTTCAATTCCCAGCCCGAGCTGAGCAGCTGCTGAGCTGCCAACAAGTAGCAGGATGGCTCAGCTTAAAAACAAAAACAAAAACGTGTGTTGATATCTTTTGCCCATATTCGAAATGGATTTTTTTTGTGTTGTTGAACTTTGAGAGTTCAATATATATCTTAGATATGAGTCCTTTGTCAGATATTTGACTTGCAAATTGTTTTAATTTTTGATGGAGTCCAGTTTATTGGTTTTTTTCTTTTATGGGTTGTGTTTTGGTGTCATGTCTAAGAACGCTTCACCTAGCCTTATGTTCTAGTGAATTTTCACTTGTTTTCTTCTAAAAGTTTTCTAGTTTTACCTTTAAATCTATGATCCATTGTAAATTCATTCTTGTACAAAGTGTTAGGTTTAGGTCAAGATACCTTTTTTTTCACTTACGTAAGTCTAATTACACTAGTATTATTTGTTGAAAAGAAAAGATTATCCTTCATGAAATGTTCAAAAATCAGTTGGCTGTACTTTCCTGGATCTATTTCTGGGTTCTTTACTCTGTTCCATTGATCTACTTATACTTGTCTTGATTAATGCAGTTCTACAGTAAACCTTTTTTAAAAAACATATTTTACTGAGGAATCGGGGAAGGGGAACAGACAAGTTGCCGTCCTTTCGTTCTTCAGTCTAGTTGTGGAGGACTTCGCTTCACTGGCCCATGTTGGTATTATCATTGCGCTCTTCCTGGATGAGGCAGATCAGTCACCGGCCATTGGACGGCTGCTCACGCCTGCTGCAGGCCAGCCCCACTGCAGCCTACGCCATCGCCGGCGACTCACAGCAACCTAGCTTCAGGTTGAGCTGTTGTTCACCATCTTAGCTGTAGAGGGCGCAGTGTCACTGGCCCTCATGTGGGATCCGAACTGGGGCCCTACTGCTCAGAGCTGGCATCCAAAGCCAACTCCTAACCAACACGCCACTCAGCTGGCCCCAACTTCTTTGTTTCCTTTTCCTAACTTTGTTTCCTTTTCCGTGCCTTACTGTGCTGGCTAGGACCTCCAGTGCGCATAGGAGTTGTGAGAGCAGATAGCCTTGGCTTGTCCGGATCTTAGTGGGAGGCATCATCTTTTACACAATTAAGTATGACATTAGCTGTAGGGTTTTTTTGGTAGATGTTATCAAGTTGAGGAAGTTACCCTCTATTCCTAGCTTGCTGAGTTTTTAATCATGAATTTTGGCAATTTTCATTTGCATCAGTTGATATGATCATGTGATTTTTCTTTCCCACTGGCTTTTTGAAATACAGAAAAAAGCTTCGAGACTTCCCCACCTGACAATTTTCTCAGACTTGGGCCCAGAGAACTCAGTTGCTACCTTTGGTCTAGTCCACTATGTCCCAGTGTGCTCGAGACTGCAACTTAAGCCCTACATGTGGCCAAATGAAAATGCTGCCCATAGTATGTACCGAGTCCTAGAGATTTACAACACATGTCAGCATAGCCAAGGCCCAAAAAAGCCCTGAAGTGCAGGCTCCTGTTACCTTCACATGGGATTCCCCAAACTTACTGACCACAGAGCCCTCTTTGGCAAAAACCCCGTCATGCTCCCACAGGACTTTCTGAAACACACTTTAGGGAGTCACTCAAATGATTCTGTCCCCTAATTTTCATTTGACCCAAAGGCCAAGACAAGTGCCCTGGCCAAGGCTACAGATAGTGGCACCACAAACACAAGGTCCCAGGTCTCCTGACCCCAGCACACTGCTCCTGCTCCAGACCATGCTGCTTCGACAGGCTAACAAGTCAGCCAATAACCTGGCAGCACTATAGGCCATATGGCTAAGAGGAATGCAACATCATCAATTTGGTCCCTTGGTGGCTCTCAGGCCCTTTGTCCCTACTGAGCCTGGGGATAAGGGGCTCCGGTCCTCACAGTCTTGGTGGGGTCAGGTTAGGTTGGGTGGGTTTGTAACGCAGGCCGGGCCAATCATGCTGCTGTAGCCCCTGCCGATGATAGTACAGGGTTCCGAGATGGGTACACACCCCAAGTACCAGCTTGGGTAACAACACTCCATACCAGAAATTGTTAGAATTCCTGGATACATAGTTTTCCCATGGAGATTATGCTCAACTACAGAAAAATGAACTCATGTTACCAAGAACCACGACACAGAAAGCGTTCCTTCAAAACAAAGTTTAAGATGAAGGAAACCCTTGGTCCCTATGGCATGCCTGAGCCCGACCGAGCCGGGCAGAACCTACCTCAAAAGCTCAAAGCAGAACCTATGTCCAGAACTTAAATGACAGGAGACTAGTGACAATTTCCTCAAAACAGTTAGATAGCATCACATCACCTGTCATTGGAATCCCGTCTCCTTTGCTTGCGAAGCAGAGGAAGTTATCACGGAAACGGCTTGGCAGACCCCTCTCAATCAGGAGGTACTCTCCAAGTTCCACAGCTGAGAACAATCTTCCCTACCCACCGCATCCTCATCGCCTTCCCACTCTCAGGTTCACACCGCCCATTCCCACTTCCCACCATAAGGACACAGGCAGCCAAAGGCAGCTCGGGCAATACTTGATATACATCATACATTTATTAGTGAATATCCCTCTGAAATCAGCAACAATATTAAAAAAAATAATGATTGCACTACTTGGTCAAGCAGAACTAGCAACTTTCATTTTAAAAAAAGTACAAATCTGTTAAAAATTTCAATCAGTATACACATATATATAATACAACATACTAGTTAGTTAAATGCTACAAACCAATGTGAATCCAATGGAATGGAAAAAACCACACATTTAAGTTTTAAGAACCATTTTTTTCTCTATATATTAGCATTTTCTCAAATACATACATGGGAAAAATGAGGTAACTGTAAAATGTGCAAGGAACAGGGCCCCCCCAAATTACATATACTTATATATGTATATATATGCAATTACATATATATATAAAACCTTTCTAACACAGAACACAGGTGCTGGGCCCAGCCAGGCTGGGGGATGCGGCCCACTGTCATGCCTAGGCCAGAAGTTGGTAAAGAAGAGTAAACAGTAACAAGCCCCCACCACAGGAAATCATTGGTAACATGGCATCTATAGCAAGGTAGGCAAATCACAGACATCCTAAATAATTGTTTTAGAAATCTTTTTTAATGATTTTTTTTTAATGGTGTGTTCCCCCCACCCCCCTGAAATAGCTGCTCACTGGAACCACTGCTGCAGCCGACAAGATCCGAGAGCCTGTTCCGCCTGCCCCAGGAGCCGGAGGGTTTTGAAATCCTTTTGTTGGGTGGGGAAGGGCAGGGCTGGAGAGGATGGTTCTCTGTGTAAAACAGGTGGGGTTTCAACACGGCTATAAATATAGAAACATCACCTGGAGTTCTGTACAGTAAGACTTTGGGTTCTCCATGGGGTGGGGCCAGGCTGATGAGGCCCATGGCAGGACGGGGGAGGCGGCAGCCAGGGCTGCGGCCGAGAACGAGGGTGGATGGAGCATCCCTGAGGCAGCAGGCGCCGGGGGCTGCCTGCTAGGATGTGCCGGCCCCACACGCGGTTCGTTCGTTTGGGGCAGCAACCCCAGCTAGGGGGAGGGGGTGTGACAGGAAAGGGACCCGGAGAGCAAGGGAGAGGAGCTCAGCCAGACCCTACAGGGGGCCTCCTCCAGACCTTGGAGTGCAGGGCTCAGGTTGGGAGGGGGCCTCTGGAGGTGGGGCCCATGCCCTCCCTGGTCTGTCCTCTTGGGACTTCCTTGGAGGAGACTCGCCCAGGCAGGTGTGAGATGGGCCCTGGCTCGAGAGGGAGGAATGCCCTGAAAAGCGTACGGTCCCGGCAGGCTCTGGGGACCTGTGCAGTACAGTGCATGGCAGTTATCAGCTGAGCACAGAGTCCCTAACCCTGCCCATGACCACCATCCGCCCGGCCCAGCCCCAGTCCCAAACATGCATGTGGACCGGGCGGCACCTGGGACCATTCCCCGACCCCCTGGGCACTTGGTCCTGGTTGGTCCCTATACCCCCAATTTAACAAAAAAGAAAACAAACTGATTTAAAAATCCACACCCCGAAATCCTACACACAATTTTGGGCCAAATGAATAAATAAAACCTGCTGCTCCTCACATTCATGCAAAACAAGAGAGGGGAGATAGGACGTGGGTCTGGCCCCCGTCACTGCCATGGAGGGGCAGCCAAGAACACAGAAGGTCACCGTCCTCGGCATGGCCCAGGCCCCTCAGGATATGTGCCGCCTGGGCTCAGGGCCTGTCCCCCTTCTGTACAGGAGACTGGCTCCAATGCCCTCCAGCCTGGGGGTGGGGCTGGAATGTTATGCCTGGGGTCTGCTAGGGAGCCAGATGTACCCCTCACAGCAGGCTGGCAGCCTAAGTCTGACTGGGGTCAAGGCAGGAGGGCCCAGGTCTGGGGCTGAAAAAATGGCCTCAAGCCACCGTCTGTCCGAGCCTGTCAGTGCCACCTGAGCAGGGAGCACACCATTTCAGTGCAAGAGACCAGGTGACCCAGGACGGTGTCCCGTTTGCCCATCCTGGGGCCAAAGATCTCCACCAGCCACACTGTGGGAACGGACCCCTGGCTCCAACTGCCGGCAGGAAAAGGAGACGAACCCGAGGACAAACGGGAGGAAGACCAAAGTCAGAGACACTCAAGCAGCCCTGTGGCAGGTGGGACTGGCAGGCAAACTGGGGAAGGAGTCTTTGGAGCTTGGCAAATGCAGGGGCTTATTGCAGGGGCTTCTCTCAGGCCTGACCCTGGCACCAGCTCTGGAGATGCAGGTGGAACGATGGGGCAGGCCTGGGCCATTCCCTCCTTGTGCTCCCTGGTTCCCCCCGGGTTTCCAGAGCTTCGGGCAGGGTTCTCCTGGGCAGCTGTGGGCCTCACTCGGCCTCCCTGGGCACCTCGGAAGCGTCAGCCCGGCAAATGGGACACGTCCGGTTGGCCTGGGGAGAGCAGTCACACATCAGGCCCCACTCACCTGTCCCATCCCCTCCGGGTCTGTTCTGCTGCCTGGTGGGGACTCGGCTCCCTGAATGCAGCCAGAACTTCTGGGTGATGACAGGATGACGAGGGAAGCCCCCAGGCCCGCCTCCTCCCTCACCAAGACAAATGCCTGGGAGCAGCTTGGGCTGCGTTACCTTCAACCACTTGTCAACACACTTGGTGTGGAACTCGTGGTTGCAGGGGAGGACCCGGAGCAGCTGCCGCGCCTCAAAGTCACTGAAGCAGACGACACACCTGGGAGGACGGCATAGAGCGTTACTTCCACACTGATGGCTAAGGAAAGGCTCATCGCAGAGCCTGAGGACATCCACCCCCTGCAGAAGGGGGTCCATCTGCACCCAGAGGGCAGGACATGGGGCACAACACTCACAGCGTCTGTTCGGACTGATGGCTGTCTGGATTAAATCGATAGGCCGGAAGCTGCTCGATGTCTGCTTTGGTGAGGCCTCGGGGCTTGGCGTCTCCCAGCCGCTCTGCCAGGCTCAGAAGGGCCTGTATATGGGCAGGAGGGCAGGGTCAGAAGCTGCCAAGGCCAGAGGCCCCTATCTCCCATCTCCCAGGACAGGGCTCCACAGGACCTCATAGTTCTCCATCTCCACATCATCCACATCCAGATCCAGGCTGATGGTGGGTCCCACTGCTGTTGGTGACATTGGCAGCATCGAGCTAAGGGAGACAGGTACGGGGGAACAGGGTCAAGGTCAGTAGGCGTGAGGGCAGAGCTGCTCCCAACCCCTCCATGAAACAAAGCCCAGAGCTCTGCACTGTTCACAACAGGGCCCCAGTGTTTGCCCCAGGGCGTGGTAGGAGGGGAGAGCCCAGCTGGTGGGTGTGAGAGCGTGAGCATGTGTGAGTGTGGTCTGCTATGGGTGCCAGATGGCTGAGAGGCCCCTGGACCCACCAGCTGTGTTTGGGTCTAACCGCTGGAGGCCCTAGGAGAATAGCACCATGGCTCTGGAACAGATGTGCTGGTACTTACAGGAAGTAGGGCAGGAAGCTGGGGTAATACGGTGGCGGGGGTGGTGGTGGGGGCGGCGGGGGCAGCGGCTGTTGCAGGCGGTACCTCTGGGTGCTCAGTCTCCGCGGCATCACGTGGGAATAGGGCTGCGGGAGGGGGGCCCGGACAGGTCAGCCTGTGGCCCGGCTCCCGTCGCCCCAGAGCCTGGGTGGGGGTGGCACTCACCACACCAAAGGACAGCTCCTGGTGCAAGGGATCGTGGGGCAGGTAGTGCAGGGGCACAGATGGGGACAGGGCCGGGCCTGGGCCAGAGGTGGGGTAGGTAAAGCTCCCCAGGGGGTGCTGGTCCCCCCGCAGGTCCACATCGTTGTCCAGCCGCTGCAGGGGCTGGAAGAGGCAAGGGTGGGTCAGCTGGAGTCAGTGATAGGGAAGCCCCCGGCCCCATGCCGCCCCTTCCAGCATCAGCCCCATCACCCAGACTCACCATACGCGGGTGCTGGGCCTGCAGCGATATGAACTGCCCAAGCGGAGCCATGTGGGCAGGCTGGGGGTGTGCAGCTGGCGGTGGAGGGTGCAAGATGTAGTGGTCACTGGAGATGAGGTGGGGGTAGGCCTGATAGGGCATGGGGAGCTGCTGCATGGTACACGCCTGGATTAGCTGCTGAGAGAGGGGGTGGGGGCTGGAGAATGTTCTTCTGGGCTCTGGGCTGGGCTTGTGCTTGTGATGAGGTCCAGGGGTCATTCTATCCAGCAAGCGGTCCCCACAGAAACCCTTTGGGCAGACCCATCCCTGGCCTAGACCACGATCCAGGCAGGACACTACACTCTTAAGGTCCACAGTTACCACCCCAAACCACAGGCAGGCACTTGATGCAGGGAGGTCCCTGACCCCTGAAAAGCTCTTACTGCACACGAACGCATGCTTTTTTGGGCAGGGCTGCAGCCTGGAGCCAGGAGGTGCTCTGACAGCCTGGAGGGGCGTCGTAAGCTTGGCGGTTCTGCCACTGGCCTGTGTGGGCCTTTCACCGGGATGGGGGTGTGGGAGGATGAAGGTGGGTGGTAGGTAGAGGCCCTCACTCACCGGGGGCGGGAGGCAGCAGAGCGGGTAATGCTGCCCGCTGAACATCACAGAGCATGCTGGGAGCTGTTGGGCACTGCAGCCAGGGATGTGTTGGCCTGAAGGCAGGGGGAAGCCTTGGGTCGTCACTGTGGTGACTGTGTAGGACAGAGGGACGGGTCCCTGGTGCACCTATGGGCAGAGAGAGACCTAGGAACTGTAGGGAGAAAGCCTAGCCACGCAGCTCCCCCAGGTGAGCAAGTCCTCCCTTCTCTAGCTGGGACATACTTAGGTACAGACCTGCCCCCCCCCCCGCCCCTTTCAGGTCCCAGAAGGCAGAGAGAACTTTCTTTCTGGGAACCTGGGAGGGGCTTCCAGTTGTACCACTCACCCACTGTGTGGCCCCAGGGCAGGCCCTTCCCTTCTCTGGGCCTCAATTTACCAACCTGTAAAGCAGGGCAGGCACTCCCTGAACATGCAATGAGTTAAGTAAGCAAGGTGAAATCAGGGCCCTGCCATTTCTGCTTTGCAGACAGGCTAGCCAGAGGCTGAGGGGCATGGGGCAGGGGTGGAGTGGAGGCGTTCTGCCTACCTGCTCGTGGAGATCAACCATGAACGGGCTCTGTTGGGAGGCTGGGTGCAGCATTCGGGGGCTCCCGCCGGCAGGAGCCGAGGCTCGGCGCTCCTCTACGGGGAGGTGTGGCAGTCGGGCTGGTGGCTGCTGGGAGGGTAAGCGCTCATCCTGGGCAGGTGGGCGGCCCTCGTGGCTGGGGCTGCACCACAAAGAGGAGGCCCCGGTAGGACTGAGGGGGGCCACTCATTCACAGAGCATGGAGAGAAGCCAAGGCCACTACCCACTGGGGAAGGGAGACAGCTCAGGGCCCTGGGCCCCACCACCCTGGCCCGTCCCTGTGCCTCATGCCAAGCTGACAACCCCAGCACCAGGGCTCTGGGGTCCATAGAATTGGGAGGTTCCTTCCTACCTTCCCTGACTCTGGCCTGGGGTGCTGCCAGGTCCTGCAGATAATCGCCGCTGACCCACAGGGGCAGAAGGCGGCCACCTAGTCACTGCCAGAGCCCATGGTCGCATCAGGAGTGGCAGGGGGATGGAGGGGCTGGGCTGGGGTTCACAACCCTAGGAGTCAAACAGACAAAGCACCTGAGGCACAGAGAAGCCCAGTCATTTGTACCATTAGTCTGGGAGACAGAATCAAACCTCTGTAGTCTGATTGCAGGGGCCGCCGTGTCTGCTGTGCCTGTGCTCCCCATGCACATGCACTCTGGGTCTGGCCCTCTTCTTGGCACTGGGGCTCAGGGCTGAGCCCAGGAACAGGCTCAGCCTGCAGGGAGCCCAGGCCTCAGTTTTCTGCTCTGCAAAACGGATCTCGCTTCTCGGTGGTTGTGGCAGTGTCAGAGGGCTGCCCAGCATGCTTCTGGGCCAGGTGGCTCCGATCAGCTCCCTCCATTTCCTCCTCTCACCTGACTGGCTCAGGGTTGGGGGTGTGAATTCCAATCAGAATTGGGCTCAGTTCTCCTTCCACCATTGCCAGGTAAGAGGTTCTGATCCAGTTCCTGCCCTCGGGGGCTCCCAGTCCAGGACAAGTCAAAATTTTGTTTCTTTCCATAATCCATTCCCAAAGTGCCTGTCCACATGTGACTTCACCTACTCTTTAGCAAGGATCCTGTCAGCTCCATTTTACAGAAGAGAAAACTGAGGCTCAGAGATTGGAAGGGACTTGTCCAAATGTCAAAGCTGAAGGGGTAGGGTGACCACAAGCCTCTCACTGCACTCTGTTGCTGATGGGAGGGATCTGGCCCAAGGGCTTCCCAGGAGGCGATGAAAGAAGCCAGCCACCAGTGCTTGGCAGGTGGGTCTGGAATGCAGCCAGGCCCTTGCTCTGGGGGCCCCACACAGCCCCCAAGTGGGAGGTGGGGCTTGCTGAGAAAAAAGGGGAAGCCAGAACCTAAGGGAGGAAGTTGAGTGGGGAGTGGGGAGGGGCAGGTCTCCTCCCACTCTGGGAGCTGGGGGTCCAGGGTGGAGGAAGTTGGGGGGACTACTCATTAACTCCAGAGGTTGAGATGAGGCCCCCGCAGGGAAAGCTCTGAAACCTGTCAGGCCCTGCAAAGCTGAAGGGCGCATCAAACAGGACCAGCCCTTTGCTGTTCCTGCCACAGGGAGGTCCCACCGTCCTTCTCCATCTGACGAAACACCCACGCATCCTTGATACCCAGCTTTAAGTGTTGCCTCCCTGTTGATACAGTCAGGGGACCTGTGTACTGTCCCCTTAACACCTCTTTCCTTCCTGCCAACAGGGCAAGAACATTTCCTTTGTGCTAGTCTTCAGAGCCTGGCCCCTAACTCTCAAAACCAGCCTTCGAGAGAGGCTCTTTTCCAGCTGACAGGACTGCGTCCCATCAAGGCCACAGGCAGGAAGCAGCGGAGCTGGAATTCACACCTCTCCAGCACAGCTCAGGCTCCGGCAGTTGGCAGAGGGGTAGGCAGGGCCCAATGACCAGCTCGTGTCCAGCACAAGGAAGGCCTGATGTGATAATGCACACTGGAGAGTCAGTCCCACAAGGCCAAGACCACAGTCTGGCAGCAGTGAAATTACTGCCAATGATTCAAAATTGGGAGACTACATACAAATCTGGGTTTTCCTGGTTGGGATGTCCAGAAAACCTGATTCCACTGGGTCCTCATTCCTGCTTGGCTCCCTTCACTTGGAGCATGAGCTTTCTCTCCATTCCCCGCCTGACCACCACCGGTGACTGGGTTTGTAACCCCTGATGTGGGCCAAGTGCACATCCTTACACATGTGTGGACAAACACAGCCTCCCTGATTCCTGCTAGCCATCCAGCCTAGCAAACAAAGGCCAAGAGACTCAGCGGAAACCTCCAGATAACTGAAACAGCAGACCCCTGGCCCACCCCAGACCTCCTGGATTAGAATCTTTGGAGGGTTGGGGAACAAGGGCACATAGATTTTTACTAAATTCTCCAGAAGTTTCTGTGGCACAATCAGGTTTGGGAACTTCTGCTCTCATAGACCTCAGAGATCCCAGGAACCTACAGTCCTGCCAATGAGGAATATTACCAATAACTACGATATTTCCCATGTGCCATCTCAACGTGTCCTCACGGCAACCCTCAGAAGTCGGGACACTGAGGCTTAGAGAGGTAAGGTCTAAGGCCAGTCGGCTGGAGTTGTGAGCGCACTGGGACATGACCCAGGCAGTGGTCTCAACTGCTCCTCTTGTGCCAGGTTGTCTTGCTGAAGTCTGGGCAGCGTCAAGGCTCAGGGGTGCAGACCCCCCAGAGGTCCAGACCCATGGGAATCTGCTCTGTGGCTCGCCCCTCAAAGACACCCACTCCTCAGGAAAGGGAAGGAGCGAGGAGCTCAGAAACCAAGCCAGCAAACAGGGAGCTCCAGCTGTGGACAATGGTGCCAAAGATGACAGTGTCAATCCCGGCTTCTGGCCAGAGTCCTGGGCACATCGCTTCCCCTCCATGAGCCTCAGCTTCTTCATCTGTAAAGTAGGGACAGCCCATGACCACCTCCTAGTGGACTGGTAAGGGCTGCTCACAGGCCATGGCAGGAGTAGTCTGTAAAGCTTAAGTGTGAATGATCACTATGAGAAAATAAGAGAGGCTGCCCTCCACCCACACCCTGCAAGCAGAAATCAGGGGCTACTTCAAGTTCTGCAGGAAGCAGCTGGGAAATATGCCTCCCTAGGGGATACCCCAGCTGGCAAGGGGGGCGGGGCCTTGGTTCCTGAAGCCCTAATAGGTACAGAGGTGGCAAAGAGGTTACATACCCACTTCACAGTTGAGGAAACTGAGACCCAAAGAAAGGAAGTAACTTGCTCTAGGCCACAAAGCCAGAGAGGGGCAGAACTGGTCCTGGCGGGCCCCCTTGGCCCAGATTGCCCCAACTCCTGACTCTCAGTAGTGTCAGTAACCCCAAGAACCGCCTAATCCCAAATCTCTATTCCAGGCCCTAAAGGAGATCAGGGCAGCTTTCTCTAAGGCGCTTGTGACTTGTCCTATTGTGGAAAAAAGCAAGGGAGGCTCAGAGTCAGAGCTAGCAACTTGCTCAAGGTCAAACAGCAAGGGTGGCCACCCTCTCAATGAGGTCTCTGTAAATGGGTCTTGGGGGTTCCATCCCTAAATCCAACCTTGCCATGGAAGCAGGCACCACACCTTGCATTCATACCCTCCCCCCAGGAGGCAGCCAACTCCCTACTTTCAGTGCCCCAGCAGTTACCCCTACCCGGGTCTAGGGAGCCCATCATGGCATGTCACTTGGGCCCAGGGGCTGTTTGTAGGAACAAGGGGCTGTTCTGCAGATAAGCAAAGTCAGCCTCTGAGAGCATGAGTAGACTAAGCAGGAAGAAAAGCCCCCTTCCACTCCCCCAGCCCCCAAGAGGTAGGCCAGGTCCAGCACTGCCTGGTGGGGGAAGCAGAGCTACCCCCACATGAGGTGGCTGGAGGCAGTTGAGGGCAGGACCACCAGGCTTGGAACTAAGAGTCTTTGGCCAGCCCGGACTCACTGGATGGCCTTGGTTAAGGAAATCTCTGCTTCTATGAATGAGCCTCAGTTGCCACAACTGTGAAATGGAGATGGAAATCTCTCCTTCCCAGGGCGCCCTCATAAAACCAGAGAGAAATGACTCAAGAAACCTGGTGGTCACATTAGTGGGATAGGAAACCAGTATCCCTGAGGGGCAAGCCCCACCTCAACGCGGGCCGGGTACAGGTTGCGGGGCTCGGGGGAGCTTCCTCAGCCACCCCTCCTCGGGGAAGGAGGACCGAGGTGCGGACACCCGCCAGGAGAGGGGGCCTCCTTCGTCCCCTTCTCACTCTTTGGCCCACACTCGGAGGGACATGAAGGGTGGGAGGCCAGACTGCGGCGTCCGGGCAAGAGCGCTGTGACTTTAAGAGCGGAGGATCCCAGACCATGTGCTCGGCGTGAGACAAAAGCAACAACAAAGGAAGTGGCGGCAGCAGGGGGAGGGGGCGGCTCCTTCCTCTCCAACCGCAGCGCTCAGCCTCCGGAGAAGGGAGACTCGTCCGGGCTTTGGGGGGCGCTGAGAGGAGGATGTCTCTGATCCTAGAGGTCTTGCCGCTCCCTCCAGACCGCCCGTGATTAACCCCTGCGGAGTACGCTAGATCACAGCCCCCAGTCCCAGGGGAAGGGGGCAGGAGTTTACATGGATGCGGAAATCGGGAGTTGGGGGCTCTGGCCCCGACTCACCTTCAGCCGCCAGGCCACACGATGATTCCTTTGTTCCCGATCTAGGATGGTCAAGCTGGGCAAGGGGGCAGCGGGGCCAGCCTGGACACTTTAAGAGTCCCCGCCCTGCGGAACAGTGTGCTCCCCTTCCCACCCCCCAGTCCAGGGGGAGTCCGTCTCCTGCCGGGGCCCGCTCTTTGTCCGTCCGCGGCGTCTGCCTCGCGAGGCCCACGCGCGGTCAGCCTCTCTCGGCCCAGGCCCTCGGGAGCAGGAGGCGGCGCAGGACGCGACAAGGTTTGCGCAGCTGCCCGCGGCTGTCCCTTTAAGAACTGTCCGCAGCGCCAGCGGAATGTAACAAACCCCACATTTGATTCACAACATTCGAAGCGGCGGGGTCGCGCGCTAGGCGGGAGGGGCCTCGCGGGGGCGCGCCGGGAGGTTCCGGCAAACAGTAGCCCGCAGCTGCCCGCGGCAGCCCCGCCCCGCGAGCCCCGGGAGCCAATCACTCGTAGCGACTATGCACGTGATAAGTGGGCCGCCATCTTGTGAGGCCGATTTTTTTAAAAAAAACCTTCTCGCCCCCACCTTCACACTTAAAGCGACCGCAGCCATCACAGGCAAGGGGCGGAGCCACATGGCCTGACCTAAAGATGGGAGACCCCGCGTTGGGCAAGACCAATCTACTGCAATTAGAACTTGCTATGCAAACTCTTGAACCACTCGCGCCTCTCTCTCGCTGTTTCTCTACCGGAGAAATGGGTCCCGCCAGGAGAGCCGCAACCCAAACTTACTGTGTCATGGTCCCCTCCTCGGAAACGGAGTGCTGCCTGGGACACTGAAGTGCAATGGGGCCGATTTTCGGCCAGGCTGGGACGTCCTCTTACGCCAGCCAGAGTGGTTAGGAAAGCTCTAACAGCCCTGTGCCGGCAAACTCCCCGGAGATGACGTCAGCCCCAAGAGCTTCTGCGCTGCGATGACATCATGGCCTGGCCGCCCCGCATCTCCTTGTTTATACTACGCGGCGGCTTTAAAAAGCTGAGACGGCCTGGATTGCCCAGCGGACCAATAGCGGGCAATCCATGTAAATAAGTTAACGCCTGCCTGGCAGGGGGATTGGTCCTGCGCGCACTGACGTCACAGAGACATTTTAACCGCCCCGCCCCCAGCGTGGCCAGGGAAAGGGGCGGGCAATAGCTTGAAGCTCCAACCGCAGAGGTGAGGTGCGCCAGGTGTTTTCAGCTCGGGTCCCCGAGTGCTTCTTGCCTAGCGGGGGTTGGGGAGCTAGGCCCAACGAAGTCTTTAGTTTTCTACCATGTTCCTCCCAGCAGCTATGAGACAGAGGGATTACCACAACTTGCCCATTTTACAGATGGGTAAAGAGGATGAAGAGGGGTGTCATGGACCCCAGGTCACACAGCTAGGAAAGTGTGGCTGAACAGGTATTTGAACCTAAGCCAAAGCCAATCTTCATTCCTCTCTGTCTCGATGCCTCTTCGGGAAGACATACAAAGTGGGATATAACCCCATGTTGATCATTTAAGCAAAAAAAAAAAAAAAATCAGTAACGCCCTAAAATATCCAGAGCTGGGAACAGGCCCAATAAAGAATGGTGTATGCCTATAATTAATAACTGGGCTCTTCTGTATGGAGCTGCACTGACATAGGGCTACCTCGAAGACAGCCCTAAGTGAGATGCCAGCCCAAAATGTTAACATTTCCTAAGCCTGTGTGGTGGGCTACTGGGGGAACAGGAGGTGGTGTCATTTTCTTTGCTGCTTTGGTATATTTCATAATCCCAAATTTAAAAATGAAAATTGAAGGCAAGCTGCCAGACACAGTGTAACAGCATGTATCTATTTTGTTTTTGTTTTTTTAAAGATTTTATTGGGGAATTGGGGGCGGGAACAACGTTGGGGAATCAGGGAAGTGGAACAGACAAGTTGCTGTCCTTTTGTTCTTCAGTCTAGTTGTGGAGGATGTCGCTTCATTGGCCCATGTTGGCATTATCATTGCGCTCTTCCCAGGTGAGGCAGTCGCTCACCGGCCATTGGACGGCTGCTCATGGCAGCTCATGGCAGCTCACACTGGCTGCCGGCTGCTCACACTGGCTGCTGGCTGCTCACACTGGCTGCCAGCCACACATGGTAGCTTATAGCAGCCCACTGCAGAAGAGGCTGCAGCCTATGCCATTGCTGGCAACTCAAGGCAGCCCAGCTCCAGGTGGAGCTATTGTTCACCATCTTAGCTGTAGAGGGCTCAGCGTCACTGGCCCTCATGTGGGATCCGAACCGGGGCCCTGCTGCTCACAGCTGGCGTCCCAGGCCAACTCTTAATCAATGTGCCACTTGGCTGGCCAGTAGTATGTAGCGTATTTCCCCATGTATAAGACGCACCTTAATTTTTGGGCCCGAAATTTTAAAAAAATGTATTACATAAAGTTATTTAACTCAAGTTTTATTCATCATAAAATTCATACAACTCCTCATCACTTGCGGGAAATGCAAGTAAAAAAACCCCTACAACCACTGTATAAGATGCACCCAGTTTTTAGACCCCAAATTTTTCGAAAAAGGGTGCGTCTTATACATGGGGAAATATGGTATCTATTTTTTAAAAAATTAGATATACACAATATCTGCACAGAATATTTCTGGAAGGATATATAGGAGATTGACAACTGTCCTTAGGGAGAACTGGAAGAGAACACTGGATCAGGAAGATAATTGCATATGCTTTTGTACATTTGCTCTTTTTTTTTTTTTAAACCCTATACAGTATAACCTACTGAAAAGTCTCAAGAAAATTACTGTAAAGAGTATGGTTTTAGTCTTTTAAGTCATAAAAACTTCTGTTCCCTTAGAATCAGAAATCCTCCTTCAGGAAAGGTAGCCAATGGAAAAATCCAGAAGTTTAGGGAACAGATATGCTTATCGAAGTGTTGTTTAGACCGGCAATAATCTGATACTGCACCATGGATATGCAGCCAGCAACACAATGACTGAAGATGGTACTCTGGGGGCTGTCTGTGGATTTCTAGGCACAGATCAAGTTCATGATGCATTGCTACCAAACTCTCTCCATCACAGTTAACACTATGTGTGCATGAGAATAAATGGGGATGTACAGGGTGATGGCTTTCTCTAACCATCTCCTTATCATCAACTCTCTCTTCTCCTATATCCCTTCCAACCTTTTATTTTTCCCACTATGCAAAAGCAATTAGAAAATCCTTCCCACATTCAAAGGTGCCTACATTGTTAAGACAACCCCCTGCTTGCCTATGTAGGGATAGAAACTGCAATGCTTCCCTATTGCCTGGCGTTCAGGGGTATGCTTACTAAGATCGCCCACCAAACTTTTCAGGCCCGCTTTTCCCCAGCCCTCTGGCCTTCCTGGCCTGCCACCTTCCTGCCTTTCCTCAGCTGGACTGCCTGCCGGGGATGCCCTCTTCTTTTCTGCTCTTTGAGGCTCTGCTCCCATCTCACCTCTTACAGAAAGCTGTGAAGTCTCCAGCTTGTACTGAACTCCCCCATCTCTGAACTCAGGGCTAGATATGCAGCCTGACCTTCACGTCAGGCCATTTAATTTGCACACAGCCCTGTCACAATTCATCACTCAATACTCCTCTCCTGGCCTGAGAGGATTCAGAATTTTTCAGGGCACTATCATCCAGCCTTCACATTGAAGGCAGACACTACCAGCCTCATTTTACAGTGAGGATCTGTGGCTCCAGGATGTGACCTGACTTGCTCCGGGCCACACAGTGAGAAAACCTTCCCATTCCCTACCCTCAGAAAGTGACCCTTCAGCCACAATCCAGTTTCGTGCTTTGAAGCCACCAAACATCTGACTACCATTCTCTGCCTAAAACACCCTCAACATCCTCTACTCACCTCTGGCAAAACCCTGCTCAACCTTTGGGGCTCAGCTCAAAGATTGCCTCCCAGGGCCTCCTGACCCGTCTCTGGCAGTCGGCTGCTCCGTCTCCCTCAACACAGAGCATGACTGCCAGCACATTGCATCAGGACAGCAGAAAGCTAGCCCCATGGGACTGCCCCCTTTTACCCTCAGCAGGGTCTGACCCACTGGGCGATGGGTGCCCAAACGGGGCTCTGGGTTTGACTCTTGCTCTCGATGCTATAGGGCCAGGAAGTTCCTGCCCAGTCTTCTCTCATGCATGGCCCTCTGGGGCCTTCAGTAAATCCCCACAACCCCCGAGTTTCCCCCAGGGCCAAAGACCAATAACCCCCCGCCCCTCCCTAACACACACACCTGAAAAACTTTCCTGGGCACATGCAGAATCACTCGAGCAAGTGGGAAGGAGGCTCTATTTTACCAGATTTTCCAGAGAAGCCAGAAATCTGGACCTGCCTGTGAAATCCCCTCAGGTTCACTGACAAGTCTTATGCTTTGGGACCACACGGTGGGGATGTGGCCTGCACATCTCCTGCTTGCCTCATTCTCGTCAGTCCACCCTACCCCATCTCCTTGAAGGCCAGTTCTGTTACTTTCATCTTACAGATGAAGAAAGTGGCTCAGGAAGAGACTTCCCTTGACACAGATCCCAGAAGTGTGGTCCACAGGTGGGGGTGGCTCACCCTTGCTCAGGCATCTAAGAGGTTCTGTGGAGAAATCAGGATTTAGGGTCTCCTGCATGGTCTGGGCAAGTCCTATCCTGATCACTAGTTCACTGGTCCTCCCAATGACATAAGGGCTAGGCACCAGCATTTGCCCCATTTTACAGATGAGGAAACTCAGGGGAGAAGGGATATGACTCACCTACTGTCATACAGCCATCAAGGGGTAAACCTGGGATCACATTGTAATCCCACATTAAGTCTGATTCATATACCATGCAAATGTTAACACAGTGTCCCCAAGGGTTGTTCAATAATCAAAAGCACAGGTGTTCTGGGGCAGGAGCGAGACCATGGAGGCTCAGGAATTAGTGCGTGGCTCTAGACCACAGCAGGGATGAGTAGCAGAGGGGTTTAAATCCTGATTGCTCCAGTACAAAACCCTGGATGTTACATTCTAGCTCCCAGACCCAGGCCTCCTCTGCAGGACATGGGAGGGATTCAGCTTGGGCAGGAAGGTGGTTCATCTGTTCCTCCTGGGACCTGCCCTCCTCCATCGGCCCACCCAGGAGCCTGGACAGCTGGCTGCCATCCTCACTCTGCCAGGGTCAGAAAGTACCCCACTCCTTTCTTCTTAGACCTGATAAACTCTCCTCCAACGAAGCAGGGCCCAGTAGCCTTCCAGGCAGAACTGAGAGATTGCGAAACCACCCAGGGACGCACAGCACAGCTTGGTAAAAGCAGCTCAAGACTCAGGCCTCCCAGCTACCAGAGCCTCACACACTAGGGTGGGGGTTGACAGGCCCTCTGCCAAGTCCTCTCTGTTCAGGACAGGCCTGAACACACCACCCTCACATCTGAGCCCCAAGCTTTAGCTCCTCTAAAAAGAAGCATCTTTGTGCAGATGCAGGAAGGGTGTTCCTGGGTCTGGGGCTCAGGTCTGCAGCACTTTGGCCCCAGCTTTGAAACTGTGAGTGTTACTTGGCCTCTCTCCACCTCAGTCTCTCATCTGTAAAATCAGGACACTGATAACAACACTAGTGACAGATGATGTTTATTGAGCACTTAGTATGTGCCAGCTGTTGTTCATCTCCTATTGGCTACTAGGAGACAGGAATACACTCATGGTTAAATACAGACACTCTGAAGCCAGGCTGTGCAGGCTTGGACCCAGGCTTTGTCTATTAGCTCTGTGACCTTGAGGAAGTCACCACCTCTGTGAGGCTATTTGGCCAGGTGTAAAGTGCGGGTGAGAGTACATACCTCAGAGAGTTAATAGTGGCTCTCTCTCACCATCTGTGCATCTTTGGGGCTACCTGCCTGACTTTCAGGGCCTGGATCTGCGCTTGGATATGGGTGTTTTGTGGGTATGACGCTGGGAGGTGCTCTCTTTTCTTACTTCCTCTTCCTTGCAGCTCTCACTACTGGAACCCCCAGGGTCTGCAGAGGAAGGCATAGGTACCGTCACCAGGGACTACAGGACTGCGGCACTGAGCAAATCCAGGGAGATGATTCCAACCGAATTCCCCATTTTCTCTCCATTTTAAATGTCTCTCGTACTCGAAGGCTAACTTCCTACCACCATCTCCTTCGGGGCCACACGCCTTCTCAATCCCCAGCACCAGCTCGACTCGGGCTTAGTGGTCCTCAGGCAATGGAAGCTGTATGACTTTGGACAAGACACAGACCCTCTCTGTACCCGCCGGCGATCCGACATCCTGAAAGCAGTAACGACGGCGCTGGGGTTCAGTGATCTGTTCTCCAGACCGGCAGCCACTCTAAGGCAGGGCCCAGGACGCTCTGGCTCCCCAGGGGCTGGCACATGAAGTGCTGGTAAAGTGGGACAGACATAACAGGTCCCAAGGACTGCAGCTCTCAGTCCGGGACGCCTGGGCCCCAGCTGAAGCTGTGACCCGCCGGGGTTTGAGATCGCGGCACGCGCAGGGCACGCTGGGACTTGTTCCCAGGGGCTTCCCAAACTGGGGCACTTGGACCTAGCAGGCAGACGGCTGAGGGGAGGGGCTCTCGCTCCGGATCCCGGGACAGCGAGTTCCGACCCTAAGGATGCTGGCAAAAGCCTCGCTGGAATTCCCTGCTCTTCTTTGCCAGCCCCCTATGGCTCCGTCCTCGCTGGCCCTGCGCCAATGGCGCAAGGCGCAGGGTCCTGGCCGGGCGTTACCTGGTGCCGTGGCGGGGCTTCACCCCAACCCAGCGGCCAGCACATCGCTCCCGCGGCAGCCCGGGGTCCTGCTACTGCCCCCACTGTGGCCCCACGCAGTGGAACCGTCTTCGGACCTCACCACTGGGCGCGCGTGCGTGTTGCCTATGCAGGTTGCGTAGCTTCACCTCGTTCCCGCGAGTGTATGGAACCACCTGGACTGCACCAAGCGCGCAGGGGCGGGAGGTGAAAGGGGGCGTGGTGTGGTTCAGCCTCGCCTACTCAGCTCCGCGCGACCAAGGGAGGGCAAGGGCGAAGCGCCCAGAACCTGGCATCCCAGCCTCAGGCTTATTGCCCGCGTGATCTTGGACTGGTGACTGAGGCCGGCTCTTAGTATGTGAAATTGGGAAAATAATATGACTCCGTGGCCGTTCAAAGAACCTTTGCTTCTGGGAGAGTTTGCCCCTCTCCCCCAGCCGCGGACTGGGGATGGGGCATTTCTGAGTCTCAGTTTCCTCGTCTGCGAAGTGGGAGCAATAATATCTCCTTGGGATGGCTGGGAGATTCCAGTGACAAGGGGAGGCTATGCCCATGGCTAGAAGCAACCCGGATCAGCGTAGCGGATATCTGCTCAAGCTGGCCTTCCCGAGTCCCCGATGGCATCCCCCATGCCCCTCATCCTGGGCGTATTAGGCGGGTGAGGACGACAGCTCCCAGCATGCCCCCTCTGGCCCAGTCACGTGGGGAGTTGTATAGTCCTTGAAGACCTTGCCTCCCAGAGTTGGCCTCAGGAGGACCCCTATTCTCAGCTCGGGACTTGGGTCCTCAGGTTAGGCCTGCTGCTTTGAGGCCAGCTTATTTATTTATTATTATTTTTAAAGACTTTATTGGGGAATTGGGGAGGGAACAGAGTTGGGGAATGGGGGAAGGGAAACAGACAAGTTGCTGTCCTTCAGTCTAGTTGTGGAGGATGTGGCTTCACTGGCCCATGTTGGTATTATCATTGCGCTCTTCCCGGGCGAGGCAGTCGCTTGCCGGCCATTGCACAGCTGGACGCTCACGGCAGCTCACGAAAGCTCACGCCTGATGCCTGCCAGCCCCACTGCAGCCTAAGCCCATCACAAGCGACTCACGGCAGTCCAGCTCCAGGTTGAGCTGTTGTTCACCATCTTAGCTGTGGAGGGTGCAGCGTCACTGGCCCATGTGGGATCCAAACTGGCGACCCTGCTGCTTGCGCTCCCAAGCCAACTCTTAACCATCTAGTCATTCGGCCGGCCCCAGCTTATTTTTTTGAAGCTTTCATTTGTTGAGCTTTTGCCACAGCCAAACAATATTCTAAGTGCTTAACATGAATTTGCTTAGTTATTACTTAAAGAGTAACAGCCCAGTGTGAGAATATTATTACTCCTGTTTTATAGATTTGAGAACTGAGGCATAATGAGGTAAAGGGATTCTGCTAGGAAGTGACAGCGTCCAGGATTTCTACTCAGTGGCTAGGAAGGACGCCTGATGTGCACCTGAATTGCTACCTCATATGCAGATCTCTCTGTTGCTGGCCCTGTGCTAAGTGCTTGACTGCGTTACCTGATTAATCTCTATAACAAACCTCATTTGGGTTCAGATGTTATGCCCGTTTTGTAGACGAAGAAGAACCTGCTTTCTACCTCCAATTTTTTTTTTAACCAGGACTACATTAAGGCCTAATATAGTATATAGTCGTACTTTACAGATACAAACCTTATGTGTATAGCTTAGTGAATTTTTCATAAATGTATGCCTCCATATAACTAAAATCCTGATCAAGATCTAGAACATTTTCATCACTCCAGAAAGTTCTCTCCTGCTCCCTCCAAGTCGGCCCCCTCCAAACATAACTATTGATCTGGTTCCTGTTACTATAGGTTAGTTTTATGTGTTTCGAACTTTGTGTCAATGGAATGGCTGGCTGTGTATATGCTGCCTTTTCCCCTTTGGTATCATGTTTTTGAGATCCAACCTGTTGTGTGTGTTAGTAGTTTGTCTTTCCCCCCATATAATTGACATATAACATTATGTAAGTTTAAGGTACAATATGATGATATGATATATATGTTGCAAAATGTTTACTATAATAAGGTTAGTTATTCATTTTGTTGTTGTCATGGTGAGAACATTAAAGCTCTACTCTTACAGCAACTTTCAAGTATAAGATAGATACAGTATTGTTAACTATAGCTACCTTGCTGTATATTAGACCCCCGGAAATTATTCATCTTATAACTGAAAGTTTGTGTCTTTTGACCAATATCTCATTTCCCCCAATTTGCGGCCCTTGGCAACCACCATTCTACAATCTGTTTAGATGTATTCAACTTTTTTTTTTTTAAGATTTTTATTGGGGAATTGTGGGATGGGAACAGCGCTGGGGAGTTGGGGGAAGGGGAACAGACAAGTTGCTGTCCTTTTGTTCTTCAGTCTAGTTGTGGAGGACGTTGCTTCGCTGGCCCAAGTTGGCACCATCATTGCACTCTTCCCTGGCGAGGCAGATCAGTCGCCGGCTTCTGGACAGCCGCTCACAGCAGCTGCTGGCCGCTCACGCTGGCTGCTGGCTACACACGGTAGCCCATGGCAACCCACTGCAGCAGGGGCTGCAGCCTATGCCGTTGCCAGCGACTCACAGCAGCCCAGCTCCAGGTTGAACCGTTGTTCAGCACCTTAGCTGTGGAGGGCAGTGTAACTGGCCCTCATATGTGGGATCCGAACCGGGGCCCTCTGGCGCCCCAAGCCAGCTCTTAACCATCGCGCCACTCGGCCGGCCCAACATTTTATTATTATTATTATTTTTAAAGATTCCACATATAAGTGAGATCATGGCATTTGTCTTTGTCTGGTTTATTTCCTTAGCATGATGCCCTCCAGGTCCATCGTTGTTGTTGCAAATGGCAGGATTTTCTTCTTTTTTGTGGCTGAATAATATCCCATTCTATATCACATTTCCTTTATCCATTAATCGTCGATGGACACAGGTTGTTTTCATGTCTTGGCTATTGTGAATGCTGCAATGAACATGGGGGTGCTGTTTAAAAAATATTACTGAATAATATCCATCGTACGAACATACAACAGTTTTTGAAGCCTGATCCTCTGAACAAATGACCTCTGAATTCCAGCCACCTTGGTCTTTCAGTTTCCCCAAGGGCCAGGTTCTTTCCAGAGTGGGGTTTTGGACACACTCTTCCCTCTATCTGGGCTTCCCTTTCCTTCCTCTTGGCCTGTATTCTGCTCTCACAGAATCTCCATGTGTGGGGGCAAGGATACACCCCACCCACACACACACACACACATCCCACTGGTACCCAGCACTCAGCACAGTGCCTGGCACAAAATGAGCATTGAATGCACACAGAAGTGGCAGGGGGTGCTCAGGAGGTCCCGTGGCACTGGGTTGCGTTCCTAGAGGGCTCAGAGGCATCATGTTCCATCTCAGAGCTCCACTAACTGGACTGAAAGTAAACAGCCCATGATTATTTTACTTCTCCATATTTTTCTGACGTGGGAGCTGAGGCTCAGAGATAGGGAGTGTCTTGCCCTAGGTCCACAGCCAGGAAGGGACAGAGCTGGAATGTGAACCCAGCTTTGCCTGGCTTCAATGCAGGCCTGTGATGGTGGTGGTGGAGAGTGACTGGAAGAGCCTGAGGGAAGGCTCTGGGGACAAGTGGGGAAGTGGGGGGTGGGGTAGGGGCTAGAAGGGAGGCGTTATCCCAGAGTAGAGACAGCAAGTGGTGTCTGGTGCTCCCAGAAGGTAAGCCCAGTGGATGTTGCCAAGGCAGCTCTCAACTCCATAAAACATGTACAGTTGGGGCCATGGAGTGCTGGCCATGAGAGGAGGTGAGCTCCCCATCCCTGGAAGTGTGTGATCTATGGCAGAACAGCCACCTGGAAGGGGGTGCTTTAGAGAGAACATGTTCCCTGGAAAGCAGCCAGGGGTCTGGGTGATGGGGAGGAGTGGGTCTCTTAGGTCCCTAAGTTTTTTCTAGGATAGGAGGCTGTGAGTCTATGACACCAAGGGACTGTTTTGGGGCTGGTCCCTCGGCTGCAGAACAGAGCGGTGAAGGAATTTTGTACTCTGCAAAGCCATGTGCAACATGGAGGGATGGCTGGGAAGTTGAGGAGGGATTGGATATGTTCATAGCAAAGAGCCACCCTCCCCGCAGGCTCTCCAGGTGGCCTTGAAGCCATCCACTGCAGGGAGTGGGGGTGGTGTCATTATTTAGATGAAGAAGTGGTGGCTTAGAGAGGAAATGAGAGGTTTTTCTGTTCAAAAATTTAAAAAACCACACACCTAAGGCAGTGACTATGAAGGAAGCGGGAGGTGCATTTGAATCGCCACCTCACGCGCATGTCTCTCCATCACTTGCCCTGTGCTAAGGGCTTGGCTGCATTACTTGATTCATCTTTGTTTTTTCTTTTTGGTTTGTTTTGTTTTCTTTTTTATTTTGATTCATCTTTATGACAAGCCTGAGTTGGGTTCTGCTGTTATGCCCATTCTACAGATGAGAACATTGAGGCTCGGGGAGATGAGCTCCCTTGCCCAAGGCCACCCCTTGACAAGTAGTGGGGAGGGGATTAGGACCTAGGTCATCTGAGTCCAAATCCTGGCCTCAGCCCCACTTTCCGCCTGGCTGCCCACCACTCTCTGAAGCTGACCCTGGGCTCAGACCTGGATCATCACAGCCCAGAGCCCAGTCAGCTTCTCAGTTGCCTTGTGACAGGCAGACAGGTGTCCCTTGAGATGGGCAGGGTACCGTCTGGCCACACCTGGCTCATCCAAATGCTGTCCAAAGGTCTGGGCAGGCCAGGACATGTCCTCTGGGGGCCAAGGCTGACTCAGAACTGTGTTCCCAGAAGGCAGTGCAGGGAGGGAGAGCAGGGCGTGGGTCTGGGGTCTGCCCTACCTGGGGCTGGGCAGAGAGAAGGGCTGACTCCCTTGGCCAGAGGCAGACCTGGAGCCTGGAGCCTGGGAGCAGTCACCTGCCTCTTGCTACCAGTTAGGCCACCAGCAATCCCACCTGCCACTCCAAACACTAACGTTCGCTGAGACTTTACTCTGGGTTGGGCACTGTGCTCTGGACTTTAAGTGTGTGACTTCATTTTATCCTCACTGCCACCTTCTGAGGTAGATTTCATACATTGCTCACAATTTAAACATGAGGAAACTGAGGTTTATGGGGGTCCTGTAACTTGCCCCACCACAATTGGATGCAGCCCTGAGCCTGATCTCTGAACAACTACACTGTAATAGTCACACCAAGTGCCGTCCACCTCCTGCAGCATCCTCTCCTTGGAGACACACAGCAGGAGACACCTCTCAGGTGTCAGAACTCAGAACTGTACCGTAGCTCCCAGATCCTGACACCTCTTTTCTGTCTCTCTCTCTCTCTCTCTCTCTCTCTCTCTCTCTCTCTCTCTCTATATATATATATATATATATATATATATATATACACACACATACACACATACATATCCATATGCATGTATATATATAATATATATACATACATATTTATATTTATATTTAAATGGATAGATGCTGGACTTCATGGATCCTGTTTCCCTTTTTGCCTTGCCTGCTGGGAAGCTTGTAATTTGATTCATGGCCCACTTCTGACAATTACCCAAAACTTAAGGGCAAATATTTAAATATTTTGTGGACTCTATTCAGGCCTAGATGTCTCCTCATTTTTTTCACTTGTTTTCCCTTCATCCAGGTTTCTTCACCCTTATAAGCTTGTTATAGCATTTTTTCCAATTTTTTTTTGTAGTAAAATACACATAACATAAAATTTACCATCTTAATCATTTTAAAGTGTACATGTCAGTGGTATTAAGGACATTCACATGGCTGTGCAACCATCACCAACATCCACCTTCAGATCTCTTTTCAGCTGCAAAACTGAAACGCTGCCCATAAAACACTAACTCCCCATCCCTCTCCCCCCAGCCGCCAGCAACCACCATCTACTTCTGTCTCTGTGAATTTGCCTACTCTAGGTACCTCATGTAAGTGGACTCACACAATCTTTTTATGACTGGCTTATTTCACTTAGCATAATGGCCTCAAGCTTTATCCATGTTGTAGCCTGTATCAGAATCTCCTTCCTTTTTAAGGCTGAGCCATATTCCATTGTGTGTATAGACCACATTTTGTTTATCCATTTATCTGTCGATGGACACATGGGTTGCTTCCACATTTTAGCTGTTGTGAATAATGCTGCTGTGAACATGGACATACATGCATGTGTGCTTTGATAATCTATTTTAAATTTGGGAGGGTTGGTGAACAATCATCCCTGTTAAAGTGCCTGGCATATAGTAACTACCTGATACATATCTACTGACTTAGAGTCAGGTGTGGCCCCTGCCCATGAGGAGGTCACTCGGGGTTATGGCAACCCAGTGTGCTTGTGCCCTGAGGAAGCTGTGGGTTCAGGGCCCTGAGAGCTCAGACAGGTGGTCATGGGGTCCATGCTGCATGCCAGGCCCCATGCCAGGACCGGTATCTCCATTATCTGGTTTCATCCTTACAAGAATCCTGTGAAGTAATATTATCTTCTCCAAGTTTCAAATGCGGATGTCTGATATCATGCTACAGGAGGGCTGTACCCACTGAGCGCCTCAGCAGAGGGGGTAATAGCAACAATAAGGAAGCTCAAACCTGTCCTCACTCCTCTGTGAAAACCTCGGGGTTGATTGTTACACTGTTTTACTAGTTCCCTCTCCTGACCTCACTCTCTCTCATCTCCTCCACAGGTCACCTGCTATTGTGGGCTCTTATAGCGGGGAGGGGACCAAGGTCTCGGATGTCGCCCTAGATGTCAACTGTCACCCTCCCTGCCTCCTGCCTGCCTGCCTGCCCCAGGGCTGGGCCTGGCTCCCAGGTGCTCTGGGCCCGGGCATGGCAGGGCCGTCTCTCCTGTGGCCTGGGCCTCCATCCTGGGAGCGCTGGGGCTGTCACCGCTGTCCTGCCCTCCTGCCTCCTCCCTAGCTGTGATCAGTGCCCGCCCGCCTGAGGAGTCGAGTCATCCTCATTCCGGGGGGTGCGGTCTCTGGCAGAGTTAATGATTGCTCAGGGGCGGTGGAGATGGTGCCAAAGTCTGCGGGCCACTCTCGCAATCACCAGACGTGCCCACCTGTGCCTGCGGGTGTCCATCCGCCACTTCCGCGGCCCAGGTAGGGACCGTACAGCTCCGCTGCAGCAGGGCGTGGAGTCTCTTGCCGTAGGGGTAGGGACCAAGTGCAGTCGTTGGAGCCAAGGTGAGTTTTGGGGGTCCCACCTCAGCTGGTTGGGAGCGCTGCGCTCAGGAAGTGAGCACAGGCGCTGAGTTGGGCAGCCCTGGAGTGAGTCCCAGACTGGCTGCCAGACCCGTTTCCTTTATGGTGGGTGTGGGGCCAACAATACCTCTTCCTAGGGTTCTGACAGCTCCCTTCCTCCCTTTCTAAGGCCTTGGGTCAATTCGGACCCACTGAGGATTCTTCACAGGATGGAAGGGAGGCAGTTCCCCCAGGGAAATGAGTTAACCTGCCTGGGCCCCTTTCACAGGAAGCTCCAGGGGCTGAAGTCACTGGCAGCTGAACTGGGGGACCCAGAGTTGGAGGAGAAAGAGCTGGGCTCTAACCCTAACTGCTTGGGTTCAGATCCCAGCTCCATCCCATCTGTGGGTGGGCTCTGTAACACTTCTGGGCCTCAGTTTTCTCATCTGTAGAATGGGGATGGCGATATTGCAGGAAGGAAGCTGGAGAGGGCCTTGAAACAGGGTTGGGCCTGTGGTCATGACTGATTCCAGTGCCACCTCAGCCAGCACCAGGAAGGGTCCGGCTGGGACTAATGGCTGGATGGGCCTCACCTCTAACTCATTCCCAGGCCTGACACATATCATCGCCCTGGTGTACCAGGTAGAGACTCAGCTGAGAGCCAGGGCCAGGCCTGGGCCTATTCCTTGAGGCAGGGACTGCTGGGTTGGGCAGCAGGCACACAGCAGGGACTTAGGGATCTTCGGGATCTGACTGATGGAAACAGGCTGTGACCAGTGTGTGGACTCTGTGGTTCTTGTTCGCACCTTAAGTCTGAGCAGGGAAACTGAGACCCAGAGAGGGTAAGGGCTTGCCTGGGGTGGCACAGCAAATAAGTGAAATGCTGGAATCTGAACCCAGGACCATTTGACTTCATATGTACCTGTCTGCTGGCAAAGCAGCCTGGGTGATGGGCTCTGGAGAGCACTCCCAGCAGGGAGCCCAGTGGTCTTGGGGTCCACATCCTGGCACCAGGGCACTCTGGCTGAGCTGGTGTGTGCCCTGTGGACGCAGGTACTGTCCCCATGGAGTCAAGTGGAGCCCAGACCAAGGCTTGCCCATGGACTCATGGTTTTGGAGCCAGTCTCGGTGTAACCCTTTGCCGTTACTCTGGGCGCATCCCTCTCTGAGCTTCTCTGAGCCTCAGTTTCCTCACCTGGACCCTGGAATGACCATTCCTACAACTGGGGAACAGCTGTGAGAAGTACATGAAAAAGCGGAAGTGAAAGTGTGTGGTGAGCTGGAGGTGGTGGAGCGGTGGTGGCTGAGCCTTCCTGCTGGGGGCCTGTGGGTGAGGAGGGCCTCTGGGAGCCCTGGGCAGGTCTGGAGTTTCCACTCACTGAGCCTCCCAATTCTAGAAAGTCTTCGAGCCGCGGGCTGTTGAGATCTGTGACAGATGCGTCCTCCCATGGAGGCTGAGTGCTTCACAGGCTGGGTGGGTGTGCCCGTCCGAGCTGAAGAGGCTTCCCAGAGCCTGCATGTCTCATGGAGTGAGGCCTAGGAGCCACCCTGATTTACCTCTGTGTCCTTTCTTAGTCTTCCCTAAGAACTTTTTGAGAGTAGGGAAAGAAGGAGTGGGGAGGAAACTATAATTTCTAGAATGTAGATAGTCCCATTTTTTAAAAAAATTATTTTGTACAGTTAGTTTCTCTTTTTTTTT